TGCATAAAAGTTTCGCCGCCGAGTAGAAAAATATACATATACATTCACTCATTTCCCCTCACTCAAATCAAAGTAAAAAAGAAAAGAAATTTCGCTACTATAATCATTTTATGAGAGAAATTTGATAATAATCATCATCATTTCAAAATAGTAAACTTGTAAAAAGTATAAGGAAAAATTAATGTAAAAGTGTATAGGATTAATATATAGTTCCCCTGGAGCGAAAGAATTTCTTTGAAAACGGACGTAATTGATGATGATGGAATTATAAAGATAATTTAAGATTTAGTAGCAGGTGCTTTAGTAGACGGAGCCTTGCCACCCTTTGGAGGAGCTGGTTTCTTTGCTGACGTTGATGCACCACTACCACCAGTCTTGACATCTCCTTTCTTCTTTGGCAATAATTCCATATGAATATTTGGCAACACACCACCTTCCGCGATGTGAACATTTCTCAACAACACATTAAGTTCCTCGTCGTTTCGTATGGCAAGTTGCAAATGTCGAGGAATGATTCGTTGTTTCTTGTTGTCACGAGCAGCATTGCCGGCAAGTTCGAGAACTTCTGCCGTGAGATATTCTATTACTGCGGCGAGATATACAGGAGCGCCGGCTCCTACTCTGTCAGCGTAACGTCCTTTTTTGAGGAGACGACCCATACGACCAACAGGAAACGTCAAGCCTGATATTATGGTGTGATAAAGATTGAATCAAAAATATCAAATACAAATAAATGATGGATAGATGATGTGAAATATAAAGCTGATTTTTCATTATTACCTGCTTTTACACTCTTGGATGTTTTTTGTGTAGCAGTAACCGCTTTGGCAGCCTTAGTTGCACTTTTTTTACTCTACACGAAAACGCAAATTAAATTTTTCATAAGATCGTTTTCCGTATAACACAAGCGACAAGTAAAATTATGTTTGTTTTTCGCGTCTTTTAACGTTAAATTTTCTCGTGTTTTCTCCACATAAATAGACTTAGTAGAGAGTTAACTCTTCTTCTCAACAAATACACACCCGACTTTTAGCAGGAGACTCTTCGTTGGATCCTGTAGTGGTCGTAGTAGCAGGATTTGGTGCTGTATTCTCCGCACCACGAGCACGAGAACTTCTTTCCGATGTTTTTTCAGTGGCCGACATTTTTCTTTTTTTCTGGTAGTAGCGTTATGATATATTTTATCCCGAATGTAAACGTACCAAACGACTTATTCAAAAAAGTGAGTAAGGAGAGTGAAGAAATATCGCGACTTTGTTTATGTTGTTTTTTTGGTCGTTTTTTTCAATTTTCATTGTGTGGTGTTAATGGTGTATCGTACCACACGTGTATTTTTTGGGATCGTCGACCATTTGATTACGCAAGAATTAACTTTTATTACATGAATTATGATTGGTCTATAAACGATAATGTTGTACATAGATATAATGCGATCGACGATTCACACATATATACACAAATAAGTTTTAAATAGATTTTTACCATTTAATTTTTGTAAATTAGACCTTTTCTAACATTGGAATAATTTCTTCCCAAAGATTAATACCCTACGATTGAGGAAAAAATTATCAGTATTATTTGTGTATGCTATATTAGGTGCATATGATAACAGTAAATAATATAAAAAAACCTTTTGATAAAATTCCACGTGACTATCAGTATATGCAAGCAAGCACTCCTTCAACTCGACATTTTTTGCCACCTGAAATACTTCATATTCTTTTGCAACCTCATTGGAAAATGAATTCGAAATATCGTTGCTGCTCTCAACTTCTTCTTTAAGCTGATGATGGATCCCGTATTAAAACAATATACATTGGTCAATCAGCAGATTTGGTATGCCAGCAAGAACACTGGAACGATAATATTAATATCTTACAAATATTAATTACCTCAGTAATTTTTGCCTCTAATTTTTCAAGTCTCTCTTTTTTGACCTGTTCGTGATCCACTCCTTTTAAATTATCAACTTTTTCACGCACATAGGCTGAGAATCCTGTGGACGATTTTCCCGTACTCAGTAAATTTTCACGTTCTATCGTGGCGTTTTGCAGGTAATCTGAGAGAGCTTCAAAATCCACTTGTTTTTGATCTCGTAATTTTAATACATACTTTGATTAAACCATGCCACAATAAATATATTAGTTATTTTGATGGATTTTCCACAAAAAGCTCAATCAATATCAAAATGTCCGACTCACCTTAACGCAATGACAATAATTCAAAAAATCTCTAATATGGGTCATATATTCTTGTTCCTCCCGCTCCGTCTGAGTGATGAGAATAGAGAGTGTAAAATAATATATACATACCACAATATAAGAAGGTAACACATGCACACAAACATTTATTTGTGGAAAGATTGGCAAACCATTTGTTTCCATGCTTCAGAAAACTTTTCGATCGTCTTACCGAATCTTTCTAGTTGCTCTTTGATTCCTGTTTCGAGATTTCCTAGACCAGCAATGCTTGATCCAAATTCGAGGTAATCTGCTTCCAGGTCTACATGAAAATAGGAAACGTATCATTATAATGGTGGTGGAATAAATGATATGATTTCGTGTTTTTGGAGAAATAAAGAATATTGCTTGCTTACCCGTCTGTCTTTTTATTATTTTCTGATATAGTCTTTCGACAGTCTCTAAATTTTCTTCAAGCTTATCAACGTTTTCTCGCATATCGATAAAGCGATCATCCGGTTTCTTTATTTTCGAGAAAGCGTTCAATAGAGCGTCGCCTAAATTTTCCAAAACACCATCACCCTTTTTCTGTCTATTTAAAGACTCGTTATTCTATGTTTTTTCATAGGAAGGATCTTAATGAGATGATTCAGTCAAGCTTTGGTATTATTGCAAGAATATTTTAGGTACATGCCCATTCTCTGGATTCCAGAAAGATTCTAAAGTATTCGCTCTTTTGTAGATTCGGATGTCGAGCCAGTCTTTCCAACATTCTTTGCAGACTTTTTACGTGCAGTCCAAATTGAAATATATAAACGAGTTAATAAAAATTATGCAAGTTCATTATGAATTAGTTTTTTTACCTTGCTCTGCGTTTTTCAACAAATTCTTGCCCAAATCTATCACCAGTTATGTATTCTACGGAAAAATATCATGGTGAATATCAAATCAACAAGCACTTAAAGTTGCATCTTCGTTTCTTTACCTAATCGATGTTTATCAGGCAACGGAGGGACAACGCATGCTGCGAAATCTCTCGTGAGGGCATTGTGCAGTAAGACAAAATCCTGAAATCTTCGTCTGACGGCGACTGTTGGAGTAGAAAAGGTCTCCAAGGTCGTCTAAATAAAGTTATCGTCAACAATGTTGAATGATGGATTCAACTTTCAAACTAAATACTTTACTTTGGTGGTTATCAGATATGAAATGAAAGCATCTTTAGTGCCATCAAGTTCTTTTTTTGCGTCGGTGACTGTTATCACCATAGGATAAACTACCCCAGGTTCAACTGATGGTACGTATTCGTGTGTTGGCTGCGGACGTGTAACCTGTTCTTTATTTCTAGATGGGGCACTTAAAGTCTTTTTTATTAAACAAAATACAACGATTTCATACAATAAATAATAGAAATAACTCGAAGAATTAACAAGCTAAATACGATTTAAAGACTTTAAGAATGAAGAAACAACAATACATTAACAGAGAACGTTGATACGCCCAAGTCGTTAAACATAGAGCTAGACACATGTTCGTGAATTTCTTCAGAGTCAATATCGGCGTCAACTAAATCCTCAGGTTTCAAAACTGTAGCAGAAGTATCCCAAGACACGCTACTGTACTCCTCTTCATCGAAATCAGAACCAACCGTATAAGGTCTTGTTTCTTCAGAATCCATTTTTTTTTTGTTCTAGCAATGCGCTTTATTTTCTATAGAGTTGAAGAAATACTCTACTGTTAATCAATCAGGTAGAATTACACGAACATTACATCAGATCTGCAACTAATGAGTCATAGAAGAAAAAGTTCGCGTTTGATACATTTTTATCTGAGGACCATCTGTTCATTGGGCCAAGTTTTGTGCATATACAAATGTTGCCTTTCAAAAGTGTCACCACTCGATTATCCGGAACTGGCTTACACATTCGCTTCAGCAAAAGATGCATGAATGTTTCTGCTACTACAAGTCGGTGTAAGTTGAACTGGAAGTATGAGGAAACCTCTTGAAATTATTACAAATTGTGTAAAAATTGAAATTTTTGTCACCATGATATATAGTTCTAAGAAATATTCAATTGTACTATTATTTTATATAAATATAAAGTGTTTGGCGTGTTAATTACTCCAGTCAAAAGTAATATAAACGGGGTAAGTTTATTGTTACTTTCTCACTTTTAAAATCAAAAATAAAAAAACCTGAGTAATATTCTATTTTATTTTATTCTTCTTTACTTTGATTTGAGTGAGGGGAAATGAGTGAATGTATATGTATATTTTTCTACTCGGCGGCGAAACTTTTATGCA